TACTTGATTTATGTAAACTTAAAGAGCATGGGCGAACATACAAAGAAAAATGTCCATATTTTGGCAAATAAGAAAGTGAAACATAAAATCTCAATCATATCCTTTTATTATATTTCAGTCGACAAAAAATTCTTCATGTAAAATCTACAAAATTTGCTACAGTATTGAATTTTTTTATATGCACACACCAAATAGGTGAAAATGATAATTTCCTTAAAAGACATTTTTTACCAAATGAGTGGATCTTCTCTCCATTTTTTTTTCTTTGAAAGTATATAAATCTTCAAAACACTATATTATGGAATCATTTTACCAATTTTCGTGGATTGCTTAAATTCTACAGGTTCGTGGGGACGTAATTTCGTGTATTCTCTTATACATACAAAAGGAAATATGACTTTGTAACACTAGTTTATTAATTCGTGGAGGATGTTAAATCATGGATGAGAGGTACCCACGAATTCCACCAAAGTTGAGCCACCACGAAATCTAATGCTTCCACAGAAGTAAGCATATTTTTTTCTTCTGTTAACAAAAACAGGGAGTAGGGACCCATTATACCTTAAAAATACATTTTTATGTCCCAGCATATCTTTCCGAGAAATGAAGTCATTCAAAGACCATATCACAATTAAGATTCTGCCAGACATGTTGCATACAATCACATGAAGCATAATAAATATGTTAAGACAAAGACATATAATCAGACCACAGGCCTTTGGATCGCTAAAATCTGACTTTAAAAATTCGGGTGAATTTTTTTTTTAACACCTTAATTTTTTGTAAGTCGGATTAAAGCGATTTAAAGGGTTGTGAATCAGACTATTCTGATAAGTAAATGTATGGTGCACTGAGGGATTGAGATTCAAATATCCATGCAAACAAGTACACATTTTGGAGACTAGTACTATAACATATATGTACATCCATATGTAACTTATGTTAAGTTATGGATATTATACAATTAGTATTTCTAATATTGAAAAGATGATCATCTAATTTAGCTTTTTCGATAATCTAATTTGTATCATTTTTGAAATTTCAAGTGTTGAGACCATTTAATCTCTTTTAATACATGTATTTAAAAATGACAGACTGGGAAAGCTAGTTCATGCTTAACTAACAAATTTGAACCCTTCTTCTATACACCTAACATATCTCTGAATATAAGATGGTATATTTTTTCAAAGGATTGATGATAACAATTTAGTACATGAAGTGATACAATATGAAATCCTGCGAAGGACGGAGCCCCGAGTGAATATGAGACGTGTATTTAAAGATAACCAATTATGTAAATGACTTTTACCAGAGGACCAATGAGAGAAAAGCGAGTTAATAGTTTATACCGCCTACTGCTGCATATTGACGATAAAAAACCTGAATAATGATTGTCTGATTGTTTGGTTGTTTTACGTCCGTTTCGAGAATTTTTCACTCATATAGAGACGTCACCGTATGCCGGTGAAGGGCTTCAAATTTTGACCTTTACTCGGCACTCAGGGCCATTGAGCAGTGAGGGTTCATGAACGTGCCAACTCCTACCATGATACGGGACATCGGTTTTTAAGGTCTCATCCAAAAGATCAGCGACTTTCACTTCTAATGCCTGTGTAGCATAATATTTCTGCAATCTCGTGAAAGTATGAGCCGATGGTAAAGAGTGAATATTTTGATGCCGCGAAATATCGAGCCCGGGTTCAATATATCGCGTAATATTTTTAACTTGGGTTCATTTTTTCGCTGCAAAATAATGAACCCCTATAAAATATTGAACCCGGGGTTCATAATAGTATGGCTATAATATATCGACCCTGGGTTCAAATTTTCGCAGAATAAATCAAATCCCCATAATAATAAGAATTTCTTTTTTGTGGGTGTGTGGGTGGAGTCAATGGGGTGGGGTGGGGGTGGGGCTCAAGATATGATATATGATTGCAAATATTGAACCCCCTATTCGACTTAAGAAGAGGCGTTCAAGATATTATGGCTGCAAAATACAGACTTCAACAGCTTTATTTCAAATGATTGGGGTGGGGTGGGTGGGGGCTCAAGATATGGCTGCAAAATAGTACTCATTTCAGTGAAGTTCTGATTCTTTTCGCTCTTCATTCCAATCGGCGTTAAGCAATGCCCTCGCTTATTGGCCAACCTTTTCAAAGCTGATTGGTTGATGGGTGGAATTAAATCAAAGAAGCATAGAAACACGAAATACATGTAGTTATAAATAGACTTAAATTTGTGTACTATTTATAAAAAAAAAAAACTTCACATCTACAGTCCCTAACCTATATACAGTGGCGCCTCGTTAATCCGGACGCCTCCGTCCCCAACGAAATCGTCCGGATAAATGAATCGTCCGGTTAAGTGAATCACTTCTTAAAAGACGTATCCTCTTAAAGCATGTACATATGAACATAGTGGTATCAAATGTGAAGGCAAAGAAAACACCTTTATTTTACCTTGACTTATTGATTTCATTTTTATAGTTTTAAAAGAAATAATAAATATTTAAAAAAGAAAAAAATTAAAACGTAATTTACACGATGAAAAATGGATAGGCAGTTTTATGTTGAGATTTCCTTTTCTAACACAGGAAACTTTACTCGCCTTCTATTTGACGTGTAGTTACATGGGCTGACCAAATTTTGATCTGCTACTGTTTTATTTCGGCACATTTTTTTTAATTTATTCAAGCTCATATTAAGTAGAACTGTTCATTATCACCATTGAGAATGTTCAAATGACTAACCGCGTATATTCACTACATAGGGAAGTAAGTAACTAAATACTGCAATCAGTGTACGTATTGCAAACATTCAGCGTAAACACAAGCCATATTCAGGATAATCAATACTTTTTCTATAAACTCTTAAGTTATATATCTTGAAAAGACGTGATCGGCATTTATAACTAACGCCAGTTACGTATTTCTTAGTGCATTAATAGAGATATATATTTTTTGAATTATGTATCATAATATTAAATTGTCTTATGAAAAGAAAAAAAAACGTTTCAAATAATGTACGATCGTATTTTGATAAACTTATGCAACACGATATCACAACAAAATCTCGTGATTTATTATTCAGTAAAATATTTTATTTACAGCTCTCCAAAATTCTCATATATTTATATACCGTTAGCAATTTAATTAATGCACAATATAAGCTAAATTCTTCGGGCTTCATAATATAAAAGACGTGTGTTTTATCTGAGGTAAACACACGCTAATTATAGACGCTATTGTTTAGAGGTCACACTAACTCCACGGACAATGTTTTTACAATAATTATCACTACTGCAAGAAAGGTGTGAAAAGTCGTTCCTCGAAAAATTACCGTCCGGATAAACGAGTCATTTTTCAACGAAAGATTACGTTTTGTAGTAGAAATTGACCGTCCGGATCCGGAACGCGAATTTCCGGATTAATGAGACAGAATAACGTGGAAAAAATCGGTTCCCAAAAAATATCGTCCGGAAGGTGAGGCGTCCGGATTACCGCGGCACCACTGTACTATAAGTATGTATGTCCCTGCTGAAATTACAGGTTAATCAACGACCAAATGTACATTTTATTTGGTAGGAGCGTGTCTTGTCTAGCTGTAGAGATGAAGAAGTGATAGCATCGTCTATTGCAATTTGATTGCACCGCGGTTTGTTAAATCTGCGTAATACCTAGTTACCCGATGTTATGTACATGTTGTTTATTTTCAACTAATCAGCATCCAGGAAGACAGCCAATGAATGAAAATGATAGAAAAAAAACGAAGGATAGCTCAGAATCCTGCATAATGTGAAAAGAAACATCTTAAAGAAATGCGTACTATAC